GAAATGGCTTACATTACCATTAAAAAAAAAGTTTCACTACATTTAGGGTGCTGATATTATGTATGTTAGGCTGATTAATCAAGTCTAAATATTTTTTTTAACAAAACAATCTGTTAAGATTTATTCTTGTCTTGTTTATGGCCATATTATGCTGAAACATTAATTCTCCTCTGATCAATTTAAGTAATGTGGAACCTGGTCAGTATCTACATAGATGACTGCTAGGGAATATTAGGTGCTGTAAGCTTAGATATGCAGGTGATGTGATGACTGCTAACAGCTCAGTATGAGAAATCAGAGCCGAATTTGAATTCCAGTTCAGTTTGTTATATTCACTTGGGGGTAATTACATTATGGGTTAAATAAGCAGGATAGACAGAGTCCTGTAGTTTTGGTTGGCAACCAGTCTACCATTAGAAAGTAATGACAGCCTACTATGAGAATTCTGCCATGTTTGTCATGAATTGAAAAGAAACACGATTGTCCTGTTCCTCAAACTTTTTGTATCAGCTCAGAATTTTCATTCATAAGCTGATTATAATTGTATGCTTGTTTTGAAGCATTTTTCAAACCTTCACATAATATAGATCTTTCTAAATGACATGTTTTCTGTCTGAATTTTTAGTATGAGGAGTTATCATTATTTACATGAACTATTGTGCTCATCTTTGCTGTTATCACAATGTTGTGCTCTCCAGCCTTCATCAAGCATATGTCAAGCCAAATAACCTAAAGGGAATTTTGAACTGAACCCTTTATTTAATCTATTGAGAGTAGGTTGTTCTTTTTTTTTTCCTGTGCATATGTCTAACAATAGCTTGTCTAGTACTGCTCAGTTATTGCTTGCCCTGTTTCCACTGAGGCCAAGTACACACTGCCTGGTCCAGAGATTGAACTCACAATTACTGTATTGCCAAATTCACGAACTAATATTAATTCACTAGGCTATGGTTATTTTTTGTTATTTATTTAACTTCATTAAAAATGATTCAGAGGTAGATTTCAGTTTTTAAATTATTGTGAAATTTTTTTGGTGGGGGTTTTAGTAAATAAATTGTACTTTTAAAAATTATATAGAATTAAATGCTGTTGATAGATTCAGAGAATTGCTAGTTTTAATTCTATCTTGAATCCTTTGAAGCTTTAAAATTTGTACAATTTTTATAATATAAATAAATGATCAAATTTATCTCCTTAGCATTAAAAGTATGTGAATCTGTTTAACAAATATGTAACAACACTGAATAGAAAAACAAATTATCTAATAATGTTTTTTTTTTTTTTTTTTAATATCCTCTGTTCAAAAATATATTTTATCATGATGTAATTTAAAAAAAAAATGTCATACTGCTATTTATTTTTAAATGTAATTTTCATAGAGGAAATATTTGACATTCGTTGACTGGAGAGTTAATTTTTTTCAAGAAAATAGGTGTTTCAAGTGCACTGACATTGCTCTTTCTAGTATTTTGTTTAAGGCCATGTGGAAAGTCAACATCTTGATTATACCATTATTTTCCCTTTTTAGTTACATGTGCTGTCCACTTTAGTTGTTGCTGCTGTTGGGAGTTTTCAAGTGATGTGGTTTTGCTGTGATTCTCTAGTGTCAATAGCTAATATTTGTTCATATAAATGAAACATTTTACTTTTTCCTTTATGTAGTCTGTAAAGTTTATATTTTCATTCTTTTAAAAATCAATTGCCTTACAGTATTTATATAATATACCATCATGCATAAACTAATTTGTATAAATTCAATCATGTAAAATGGATCAACCTAACTGCTACTTTGGGCAAATTTTCCAATGTGTCAGTTGGAAAATTCCATTACTGATTAAAGAAGATGTAATGGGGAAGAGAGCAATTCAACTACTTTATGTATTCTTAAGGTTTGTACCTTTGGTGAAGAGTGTAGAAGGGGTCTGCTTAAAAGTTTGCTTGACATTCTCAATCTCAAGTGATAGACAGATAATTGTCGAACACTGTCAGTTGGATTACTTTCTGTTTAAAGAAAAAACATGAAATGAAATTAGTTTTATTATTTATATATAGTAGATGTACTATGAACTGAATGCATAATTTTATTAAGCATAGTCATTATACTTTTTTTTTTTTTTAATATACCAGTGTTTGTCCAAGAGCTACTCAACGTAACTGTGTGTTATTATATGAGCAGAAAGTGAAGTTCATAAGGTTATGGTTAACCCTACACTTAGTTGGTTTTCTTCAATATAATGTTTGTATATGAATGACTGAAAATGATTCTGACATAGAAACTGTTCTTTGATCAAATGCACAACTAATGAACATTTTGTAAAGGCATTTGGCTGGAAGCTTATTTTTAGAACACTGTTTAAATAGCTTAGAGAATTAATTTTTGTCTCCATGAATATCAAAGGATTTATTTATAAGCCTTTTATTGTTCACACTTATAAGTGAACATGATTGTGTTAAGCTAGTTATTGGCTTTTGATTCATTTGTTACTGTAAATTTTCCATTTTTTTTTTATTATGCAGTTTACTAAGAGATCGAGCAATGACTTTTAAGCAGAACTATGAAACCCGAAAGAATCTGGAACAGGACTGGAGACGTAACATAGACATGAAACAGGAAAAAAGACAAGAAAGCAAAGAGAAAGAACGTGAAACAGGAATGTTAGTCCAAGACCAATGTAAACGATATCACAGATGTCAGCAGTGTAAAAGGGGTCTCAGAAATCGAGGCTCTTGTAATATTTGGACTGATACTTTTTATCTACCGGGATCCAGGTACATTATTTAAGGTAAAGTGACATGACATAAAAAAAAAGCTGTTGGAGCTTTTCTCTTTCTGACAAACAGCAGTCTAAATATTCCATAAAATATTCTTAGGTTAATTTGCCTTTGCCATGCCATGTAGCATTAAATATATTTAATATCAACATTAAGCCTATTTGCAATATTAGCTATGTTCTAAGGATAAACTTCACCTAATGTTTTAAAAATTAGGATTTAGATTCTATTCTTCTTGATCATCGGTTACAAAACCCACATTATAAATTCTGGTCAGGGCTCGAGCCCAAGGGGAAATATGCCGATTTGCTTTAAGTTTAGTAGCTTTCAATAATATTTAAGACTGTAATTTATGCTGTGTGGGGATTGTAGATTTTATGAAGATGAATTGAAATTTATATTAGAATGAAAACTTTTAGTCTTCTATTCTGCTTTGTCAGCTTCCAAATTTTCTTGCTTTGATATTTTATGATTGGTTTTCATGATTGTATTTTCTTGTGATCTGCAACAAAAAGCTTTGTTTTTCCTATTAATTATTCTGATATTAACTGACAGAAGTTTTATGGCTCAATTGCAATTTGGTTAAAGGTTTCCTTATTTGGCAGATGCAATTTTATAATATACACAAAGCCCTATAAAATTGGAAATTGTAGCCCCTGAGCCTTACCGTTCTGTAGCATGACATCATGTTCCAAATGAACCTACATTTAAATTTAACTTTTGGAGCCCAACTTTAACTTCTCCAGCAAAATAATTCATTTGGTTAGATAGACAAGGGATAGTGAAATTAAAGTTATTGAAATGCTAAACCTCCAGCTAATAAATCAGGAAAATGAACATGTATTTTTAGCCATTTTTTTTTTTTTTTTTAAAGCTTCAAAGCTTGCTATTTATAATTGGTGTTGAAGTTATTTACGGGAGCAGACATGATGTAAGCTTTGGGGTAGTGAATTTTGAATTTAGCCAAACACAATTTTCATAAAGTCTTCATCTAATTTTTGGTGCAGGATTAACATTACAAATCCATGATTTACTAGTCTGGCATCTTTGATATTTCAAGGGTGTCATTACAAGATGTCTACAGGAACTTATGTAAAAGTAAAAATTTTACCATTAAAATCTTTGTGCCATTAGACAGGTTGGGAATTTTCCATTCCAAATTTCAGAGAATTTTTTTTAAGTTCACTCAATATAAGGCTCACTGTTGAAATTGTTATGAGGAGTGGGAGGAATTGAAGAGATTGTCCCTTGAGTTTGAAGAACTCAGGAGAAGCATGCATGCTGGAGTCTGTTCCACAAAGTAGCAGTTCTTTTCATCTTTTTTTTGGTTGGGAAAAATCTGCTACACCAAGCTCCTGTTTAGATTTCACTTACTGCTTTTGACTATGGACTCTTTTATGGTTGTAGTACCTTTGGAAAAAAATGGTTTTACTTTTCATTTACATACTGAGAGAGAAAAAAAAGAAGTCAGAATAATGTAAAGACAATTTGAAGAACTGGCAAAATTAATCATATATTGACATAGGTCCATACACACATTTCTTTCATTAGTATTATACATAATTATCAACAGTAATAATATGTACTAGATTTGATATTACCATTTACAATTTAGTGTTATAATCTCTGATATGAAGAATAGAATAAATGTCAGTATCTACTAAGAGAAAAAACTAATCAAGAAGGTAAAAGTAAATTAAAAGAATTTGACACATGAATCATACTTTCTTTTGTTAATCCTGATTTTAACTTTTAGCGTTCTGACAAATGAAGAAAGTTTGTACAGCCACTGCATGCAACTCTGCTCATCAGACAATAGTGTTGTCATATCCTACTATGGCAACAGGAAAATGACTAAGTGAAAATTGAAGATGCTGCTACTGCAGTTGTCTGGCCCTTCATGAATATTGCAGAGTGCTAAAGGTTAAAAAATATTTACAACCTATGGAGAAAAAAAAAGGATAAGTAATTTAGTTTTTAAAATGAATAATTTGAATTTACAAGTCCATGAGTAGTAAAGTAAGGGTGCTTGATGTGGCAGTCTATTTGTGATGATTCTCCACCACCCACCCAATCAAATATGTTTAAACTCTTCATTTTTTTTTTCTTTCTCAAATAGAATCTCTTATGATTGGTATTCTCAGCAATATATTTTTTTTTTTTTTAAATCTAATTTTTTTTTTTTTTTTTTTTTTGGAGGGTTAAGTTTACCCAGAATCTATTGCTTCTCAACATGGCACACGGCAACACGTAGATTTTCGTCCCTGTTTTGTTTGCATAATTTGAATATTGAGCTTGGCTTCTGCAGTAAGGGTCTTGTTATAGAGATCCTGAGCCACAACTTTGAATTCCAGCTTCCCAGATTTGAGTGAGCGAGCAAGGTCTGTCGTCCGTATAATTCCAGTCTGTTGATCAATGTAGAAATAACCAGGAGTTCCTCCCAGAAGACTGTATTGGTAAACTGAATCTATTTTGTCCACATCGTCAAAGGCAAATGGCGTTGCTATGATGGTTGAAGCTGGAAAGTTGCTGGACACCATATGCTGGTAAGTGTCCATAGTAAAGTGAGGGGGATTGTCATTTATATCGTCAACGATAATGCCTACCTCTTGGCTGGTGTTGTGAGATGGAGTCCCATTGTCAGTAGCATGGACAGTGAATCTGAAGTACTCATAACCAGCATCTCTGTCGATTCGCTGTGTTGTGATGATGGAACCATCATTTTTTATTGCAAAGGGAACTGTCAGTAGAAACAAAAACAATAATGACAGATATTAAATGTTTGATTAAAAGTCATTGTTTTAAGAATAGTTATTGATTTGACATATATATTAAATTATTAGTACTGTTGGGAATTGTCACAGGATTACTATCATGAGGTTTTCAAAAAACCTATTTAAAATATATCACTTTTTTATTATATATAGTCTTGAGTGTTCTTTCATGTTTTTATAGGTTAAATAAAAAAAGAGAAACCAGAAGGGTTTTATTTTCAAAAATCATATTAAATGGCACATATTAAAAGCATCTTGTAATTCACATAAATATGACTAAAAGCAGAAACTCCTTGTAGATACTTGCAAAAGTATTCAGAAAACTACTTGATGAATGAAAATTTGATTTTCCACTTGCTAAATATTAAAAAAAACATCTTGTGTTCTAAGTAATGTTGATAGGTTAAATTTGTTAATCAAACCATAATTATTTATAATCAATTTTTTGAGAATGAGACAAATAAACATTTAAAATATTCACAAAACTCAATTATTCCTTGTTTTGTTTTTTATCCTTCATATTTATTTATTTTTTTAACTCATTACCTGCCATGGGACACCAATTTGGGGATCTGTTAAAATAAACTCACTTCATGTTATTCCTTCTATTTACAGTGAATTGCTTACATACATTGCATTTGCAGAGGTATATTTTACAACACTTAGCCTTTAAAGTTTTTATTATTAGTCATGACTAATCAGAGAAGACACTTTCTGTCATAATTTTACATTTCATAAGTAGAAAAATAATGACTATTTTGAAAAGTATTTTTTTATTATTTCTAATCAATATTATGTTTTATACACATATATATTTGATGTTCTAGTTTCTATAAAGTTTCAAAGTACCAGCTATTTGAAGAAAATTTTAATATTGTATGTTGTTTTAACTCCTAAGACACCTGTCTAGGCAAAAAAAATTTAAAAATTTGGCAGTTAATGGGTTAATGTCATTGCTTCCTAACTTTTTTCAATAGGACTTTCTTTTAATATTATGTAGATTATAGAAAGACAGTATGCAGGTAAAAACATTGTAGCAACATCTGAGGTTGCAACAATAACTAAATTATTTTTATTTAATAACTTACCATATATTTATTGTGTATGATATGACCCTGTATTTCTGAAGGTAAAAACAGGGAATAAATCACCTTCTTGTGTATAATATGACCCCATAGTACACCAATACCCATGTAAAATTTTTTTTTTTTTTTTTTTTGAAAAGTTGTATCATATTATCCATTAATATCTCAATGTTGTACATACATATCACTGAAATTTTTATTTTTTCATGATATTAAAGATTAGAAATGAACTGAATGTTTAACCATTTCAAAACTTATTTTTCAATTTTCACGGGTAGGTGCTTTGTTGCAACATTAATGTTTTCAAAACATAATAGATCTTTTGCATTCCTTTTATTAATTTTTTGTTTTAGTAAATTTCAGGGAATTTCTTATCTTTGAGACAAGATGTTCAGTTTCACTGATTCTCAACAAATATTGCTGACATATCAAATACCTTTTTTAATGATTCTTATCAACACCTGCCTACTTTGTGCTTTATTATCTATTGTGCTAACTGAGTTTTTTTTTATTTACAATCTTGGTTTTTTTAAGCTGAATAAATAAAAATTTCTGAAAATGTATACTTGCATGTAATATGACTCCCACTTTTTTTTTTTTACTTTAATTTTCCTTCAAAATTTCTCATATTATACACAAGGAAATACAGTAGATAAATTATTAGTCATGTTAAAAGGTTAAGTTTTTTGTTAATTTTCTGTATGTAATGTTGAAAGTTGAAGTGAACAAAATAATGTTTGTTTCTTTATGGGAAAACATCCTCACTTGTGTTTGTGGGTGAGGATAAATATAAGAGAAGAGAAGGTTATTTGAGGCAACAGGTCAGCAAGACAAAGTTAATGTGATCAGTATACTTCTCAAAAATGATTAACAGTGCTGAGTTAAATATTCATTTCAGTAGAAATTTATAGAGATCAATAGTGTGTATATATGCATTGTAATCTCAAATGAAAACCAATCAATTTACTGAAATATGAAACCGAATCCTGGCATTTATAAAACTGGATCTACTCCAAAATGGCTTTGATGAACTTCTTGTTGATTGGTTAGAAGGATTTTAGTCAACTTCTCATTGGTTAGGAAAAAATGACTTCTAAGATGTGATCCTACTTTTGCATAGAATTAACTGATGTTTGAAGTAAAGTTAGAAATTGTTATGGTGAAACACACCTATTCTATAGTTAATAGACTCTCCCACCTAATATAAGTAGGAGTAGTAAGAGAAACGAGGGTTAGTCGATGTCGGATGACAGTAGTCGGCAGTCGAATACGAAAGTAGTTAGCGACCACAACAAGATTACTCTGCATAATACCTATTATATCAAGTTCCTAACGTTTTGTACGTCGAACCTATTTTAGGACTGATTTAGTACAAATACAAGCCTCCACTGCGAAATAACTCCACAACAGAATCTGTTTTGTAGTAGACATTATGCTATTTCTGGATGGACATTAAAAATATTAGATTTTAAAAATAAATTATACTATTGTTTAAGCATTTAAAAGGTCTGCAATTTTATAAGTTTAAAGTAATTTACATTTTACAGCATGAGTAAACTAATATTTTACCTTTATAAATACCGACAGAGGAGGGGTAAGTGTTGTTTCTACTTACCATATCTTTCATCAGCTGGATCAATAATCAAATTGACACTGTTGTTTTTCTTCCTGTCTTCGTCTGTGACTTGTAGTGTCCCAACTAGAGAGCCTATGGGCAACTCTTCCTTCAGAATAAACACATTCCGTCCTTCAAATTTAGGGGCATGGTCATTATAAACCATGTGTGGGGCATTTACAATGACTTGAGCTTTGGTTTTTCTGGAAGGAAACCCCATATCCATTGCAGCTACTGTAAATGTGTATGTTGTCTTTCGAGGCTTGGAGAAAAATCCTTCCAGTAATGTTAAAACTCCTATAATAAGGGAACGGAAGAAAATCTATGATCAATGGAAACAAACCACAAATTTTGCAAATTGGAAAATTATTGTCTATTATTTAACATTAAAACTAAATATACATGCAATAGGTTAAGTTCTGTCGAAAGAACCTGTTCTTGTCTAATTAAAGAAATTAATCTATTTGATGGCATATAAGATGCTTTTTTTTCTTTTCTGTTCCAATGAGGATATTGCAACCATTGTATTGTTTTAAAAAAAATTGGTTCTTTTGATTAAATAGATGCCTTCTTGATTTTGTTCTCACATTAACATGAAATCTTAATTCTTAGTCTTGTGATTCTATTTGATAATATGAAAGAAAAAAAAGAAAAATACCAAGCAAATTCTAAAGAAAAGAGACTTGAGGAAGACCAAAGAATATATTGACTAAAATTTGCTAAAAACAACAAAGATATTACTTTAAGAATTATAAAGAGAAATCTAAAAAAAAAAATATTTCAAATTACAATATTACTAAAGATGGTAGGGATTTGACAAATGTTCTAGAGTTCCAATATTTGACCCCCCCCCCCAAAAAAAAATGATGTTATAAAAAAAGAAAAAAGTATCTGTTACATCATAACACACAAAACATATACAGACAGCTGAATTATGGTTGGCCCAAAATGACAGAAACCTGATATTATCCACACTAGCAAAAGTATATTCTTAACATTTAAATTCACTAGTATTTAATAAAGTAATAATAATTTAGGTCTTGATTTAAATTCTCCTCCTGAAAGGTTTGTCTTTCACATTGATTCCTTTTCCAGGTTGAGTTTTACTCCAACTGTAAACAGTTATCCATAATTTTACCCGATTTTACTACATCAGAAAAATGATAGCACAGTAGATAAGTAATAATATAAAAATAATTTTGCTTGCATTTTTTTTATGTTCAGTGTTTCTTGAATATTACTCTAACCAAAAAATTCTATTCACTAGTGAATAATTATGATTATTATGTCATCAGAATAATAATGTGACAAGAAAAATTGTTAAATATCCAAAAACAGTACATACAAAGGATGTCAAAATAGTAAGTTACTATTATTTACATTTGGACTGTTGTCCTCATGTTTGTTTTTGTTATAGCATTTTGACAGTTGTTCCCTCTGGCCTTTGTCAAGTGGATATCTATCCAGGTAACCTAAAGAGAATAGCTGAAATATTGTGATGATGATGATAACAAAAACAAAGATGAGGACGATAGTCTGAATGTAAATAATGATAACTCCTCATCCCAGAAATTCAGACAGAAAATATTTACTAATCTGACATGTTTGTTATCAAGATTGATGCACTTGTCTCATTGCTTCACACATGTATATATATGCTCAACAAAGAATGCAGTGTATTAAGTGACTTCAGCTTTGATGGCGCCAAAGTCAATTTCATGACCTGAAAACATTTATCATAACTGAACTCTCAAAGATTCAGCAATGAATGAAGAAATTGATGACAACTTCATATTGTATAGTCAGACAGTTTACAAAGTCAGATACTGTGAAACACTGGATAGACTAATGAAAGTTATTTCTTGAAAGATATCAGGACATTTGCATTGTTGTAGCATTTTATCACACAACAATTCTATTTCATATACAGCCAACCTGATAAAAAAAAAAATTATCTCCAGCAATATGGTTGGGATGTCTTAATATAGTTCAGACTTAGCACCTTCAGATTATCAGCTGCTTGGGCCCATCAAATGGCATTTATAACAAGAGTTCCATTCAGAAGATGTTGTTGACTCCAATCTGTTGATGTTATGTTCCATAAGGTATTTGTGCACCAATGGAACAAGTGCCACACTCTTAAAACTATCACCCCATAAAAGATTTTAGTTGTTAAATCTCTGGAGTTCTGATTGAATTGTCAAAAAATCTGAATATGTGATGTTAGTTCAAATAAACTGATATATCTGTAAAGCCCTTGAAAATCCAGTATTTCAAATTGATTCTCTATGAAAATAAATTGATTTCTCTTTCAAGTGATACCAAATTTAGTATCCTTGGTATTACTATGAGATATGGTTTTGGAAATACAGTGCTACCCAATTTCAGGCACTTCTAGCCTTAATGGGTCAATAGTGACTCTCAAAAAGTAGCATACTAGTACTAGTAATATATGCACAACGTTTTTATTAGTTTAGTGATAAACATGTATTAGTAAATATTTGTACCTTACTTTTTGAATATCACTCTGAAAGTTTTATAAATGTGGGTTATTATGTAACAATTAAGTTATAGATTATTTGACAATCCTAAATTCTATTTAATGACAAACAATTCAAATTTTTCTTCCTTCATTTTTGATTGAGAAATGATGAACATAAAGAAAGAATTATGCTTTTGAAGTCATTAGTAGTAAAATATGGAAAGGAGGCTAACAAAAATGTATTAGCAAATTAGTCTCACTACTTAATAATCAGATATTCCGTGATCATGGTAATAGCATGTTGTTTGTATTATCATTATAATGGAATATCTCATTACTAATATTTGTGATCATATTGCATGACTAGTAAATACTTAGTCATATAGTATTTTGATTTGTTAAAATACAATGTACTTTCAATATAAAACCAATCTTTTTAATCTGTGTGTCAAAATCTTTCTTCAGACACACGTCATTTTATAACTTTAAAAAAAAAAATGTTCTTGAAAACAAAGTCAAATAATCTACAAACCTGTTCCAACATCAATTTTAAACTTTCCCAATGCATCGCTTTCAAATATGTAAAGTAGTTTGTTATTTGGGCTGGTGTCATCCCTGTCTATAGCTATGAGACGTCCCACTTCATAGCCTGTCTCAACAATTGATGGCAGAACAAACTCATACAAAGCCTGTACAAAACGTGGATCATGGTCATTGACATCTTCCACTTCAACAATCAGATCTGCTTCTGTTGAAAGACCCTGACCATTTTGGTCAGTTGCTACAATCTGAAAGATGAAAAAGAAAAAAAAAAAGTCCAATTATAAATGTACTTAAAGAGTTTTTTGCCACTTAATTATTTTTGTGTTGGAGTTACTTTAAAAATCTTGTGAGTCTACTGTGCATGAGCATTTAGACCATAAAAGCTCTATTAAGGAAAAACTGACAACCTAAATTATTCAGTCATTAATTTAATGATTTGTTATTAATAAAATTATGACCAAAGGGGAATTAGTGAACATATCTATATGTACACAAAAACAATGTGTGGATAACATAACAATTATTAATGCAAAGAGTGAAATTGGCATGTTGAGTTCAAATTCCACCCTATTCTATAGCATTCACTATTGTATATGCTCATTGGAAAGGCATGAATCCATCTTTTCTTTCAGGGATGGATTAAATAGCAAAAAAGATAAGGTATTCTAGCCTTGGATGGAAGCCAGTCTAGGAAAAGATTACTATGAATTACATGGTGAGGGCAACAGGAAACCACTCAACTATCCTTTCCAAGAAGTCATGATAATTCACTAATTATAAAGACAATAACTGAAGAGCCATGATCACTTATATCAGACCCTGAACTACCACCAATCATGATGGATGTCCCCTTGAGAGGATATTGGGCCTCAAACTCACACCTGACCTCAAGTGGAATTTCTATATATGATCCATCACTAAAGATGAAGGTAAAATGATCAGCTTCTTCTACTGCTCCAGTAAGTAACTGACTCCTCATGCTATCCTCTACCTTTATAAGAGCCAAATCAGGCCGAAAATGGAGTATTGTTGCCATATTTGGGAAGGAGCTGCCCGGGCCTCACTTTGACCTCACTCGCATCTCAGTCCTTGCTCTCACAGGTGATTTGTGTTGAGTCTCATTACTCTATCGCTACCACCGTCACCTCTCTCTGTCTTTTCTACAAATACTTTCATGGTAATTGCTCTGATGAGCTGCTTTCACTGGTTCCCAGACTCCATGAATTCAAGCGCCCTATGAGGCTGGCATCGTGCTTCCACCCTTACACTATAGAAATTTTTAAATGTAGCCATCTCTTCTACTCCAATAGCTTCATACCTCACACCTCTCGCCAGTGGAACACCCTTCCCAATTACTGTTTCCCTGAAAGCTATAATCTCCAACTATTCAAATGTAATGTCAATTGACACCTCCAGTTACCTTAATCTACCCACTATCCTTCTCCTCATCCTTTCTTCTACCACTCCTATCTGCTCTCGCTTCAAATCTTCCGCAACCCCCTGCATCCTAGTGGCTTCACGCCTTGTTCGGGGTAATGCTTAAAAAAAAAAAAAAAACCATAGTAAGTGATTGGATGAACTGCATCTGGTTCCACCAGGTCTGGCCTTCTTGGCAAGGACCTGCCATGCTACTTACATTGCAGCAAATAACTCCCATTCCCTCTGTATTGCTATCAGTGAGAAGTAAGTTCTACTCAAACAGCTTCTTCTCATAAACCTGCCCTGTGGTACAGACTCCTAAGAAGATGTTTTTTCTTATCACTGCAATCTTAACCTGTTCAAGTTTAGAATAAACTGTTATCTTCCCCTCCTATTCATATAGATTACCCTTTAATGTAACCCATTACCTCGAGTGCCCCCCAGGTCTTGTACAGGGTCAACCTTACTGTAAAAAAAAAAAAAAGAATGACATGTTAGAAAAAAAAAAAGAAAAGGATTTTACTTAAAAATTTCATAAAATGCTTCAAGTTAATGTAACATTGACATATAAAAAATTGCCATTTTCAAGAAAAATATTTTGAGAGTTGATTTAAGGTCAATGTGAAATTATTATTTCTAATTTTTGATTGATAGATTTTTACTTTTCTTGTGATCTATGAATATTATTTTGATGTACAATGAAAAAGAGAAAGACAATCCTATTCTTTTGTCATTGTGATTTTAAATCAATGATAGAGCAGCATTTTAAAAGTTGCAATGTCCCACATTCAATCACAGATATGAGATGTATTAGATTCATCAAAGTAGAGAAGAATCTTTATATGTCCACTTCATGACGTAAAATGTGAAGAAATCTTTTTTTATGTGAGGTAATCTGTATACCATCCCCTATCTGGCATTTGAATGAAGATTGCAATTTATGATAGGTCATATAAAAATAGGCTGATTCCTTTAGTCATAAATAACAGGCTGTAACCATCTTAGTGCAGTGGCGAACAGATCTTTGGTCACTTTACCTCAATTTTGATTCCCACAATTTTTGATTTCATAAATGGTTAGAAACTGATGACAGACTTTTGGTGCAAATTATATTTTTTAGTTATTCATAACTCTGGTCATATGTAGCTTATATATATTGTGGCACTATGATTGGGATACTCATATAAAAGTGTAATTTTTTCTAGATCTCAGGTTTCTGTTTTATAGCCAGCAAATGGGGTCTTTGAAGTCAGGTTTTCTAAGTGGCTTAAACTTGACTGAAGGGGAGCAAAAGAGTAAATGAGTGGATGAGGGATTTTGAGGTCAAGCAGCAACAAGCTGGACATTGATGATTTTTGGTTGATGGTCTATATTAACAGTCTCAGTGTGGATCGAGGAAGTCAGTTCTGGTCTACCCCTGATAGGGTAATGACTGTCCCTCAGGTAGTTCTGATACAACTTGTTCATATTTTCAGCCACATGTTGAATTGACAGAGATTATTGGTAGGAGGGAAGAGCTGAACTGTTAATTGGACATGGCAGAAGTTATCCCAAGTGTCACTTACCTACCTGTCTACCTACCCAAACTAAGTAAGTAAGACTCTGAATAAAACACCTATTTTGTTTCCTTGTGAGCATTTCCCAGATTTTGGTTCATATTCACATGAACAAGAATGGGGATTCAATGTAGATTAGTAATTAGCCATTTGGTTGCAAGCTGAGTGAGGGTCCCGTTGTATGTTTACAATATTACAAACTAGTTTATTGACTAATGAATCTATAGACACTAAATAAAAAAAACAACTTTATTTTTAAGAACTTCATGAAATAATAATCCTTAAATATGCAGCATAATGGCTATAAGTGTAGAAACCAGAACTGGCAATCAGAATTCAAATTCTGGCCAAGAATGGGTAAAATAGCAAGTCTGGGATCTCTAGCCTTGGCTGACAGCCAAGTCTAGGAGGAGAACTCTGAATCCAAATCAATTGGTAGCTGAGTTAGTAACTCCACCTTGTAAAATCTACTTATTATTTGAAACTGAAATTGCATCATGTTGCATTCTGGCTCTGTGTGAAGTTTACAGATTCATAAAATAAAATCATATTTTAGTACAGTTACAATGTGCTGGCTGGTCAAGGAAGGTAATGTCTTAACTTTATTATTGGCTCTTCTTGAATCATTAATGGATCTTCAGGTAGTTAACTTGTGACACAAGAGGAAAATCTGTCTTGTGGGAATGTAACAAAAATATGAAATACACCTTATATATGGTAACAGATAATATATATAATATTTATAGTATGTATAGAGTCCAGGTTTCAAATTTAAAACTAGCTGCAGGCATAATTCTTAGCCCATGCCACATGGCTGGCTGATTTTTAAATCCTGGTCAAAGAAAATGTTTGCTTTACCTTGAATTTGAATTCTCGGTTAAGTTCTCTGTCAATTTTTCCTGGTCGATCAACATAAATATCACCTGTGGTACTGTCAATTTTGAAAAGACGGCTACGGGGACCTTTCAGACTAAACCTGATTTGCCGGTTGCTGTTAGTTGCATCACGGTCAATCACAGTCAAATTCTTGGACTGCAAACAAATAAAGAAAAATATTATCCTTGATTAAACTTTTAAATTCTTATATGTTATTATTGGGCTAAAAATGTAATTACAATTTATAAGGATTAACTCTTTTTAAACACTAAATTTTAACTTAAGAAAATGATTGCAAAAATCAAGTTTGAAAAAAGATAAATAAGTTAAGAAAAAAATTTAAATTTTATGAAATTAGACAAATCAGTGTGCAATTGGCATAGTGATTATCAATACAGAAAATGAATTTGGCAGGCAGGGTTCAAATTCTAGTTGAGGCTGTTGTATTCACTTTACACTAATGTATTTAGGAAAGGCATAAATCAAAGTGTTCTACCCTTAACTATGGATAAAATAATAAGGCAGACTGGGCTTTTAAGTCTCTGGTAAGGCAACCAGTCTAGAAGAAGGAAAAGAGAAAATGTGGATAAAGTAACAAAGGAATAAACTCATTCAAAATAGTCAGCTTTTCTTATTACAATTAGTTAATAAGCCATAAAAATATTTATGAGTATTTACATTAAATAAGTCTTCCATTTTTGAAGATAGTCATTTTAAATATCTTTTATAGCCTTAAATTTTATATATATATATATATATATATATACACACACACACACACACAAATAAGGAAAACTTTTCTTTACTGACATGTTTCACCCACTGAAAGACTTTATCAAGGTAAATGTAAGGATTTTATTTTGTAACATGTATTTGCAAAGTTTACTAACAGAAGTAAAATATTAACACGTTTAAATTTAATAATGCTCTAAATTGTAAATTTTGAAATTTAAGAATGCTCTAAAATGTTAGAAATTTTACAGTGTTCTTAAATTTAAAATTCAATGTCTCATAAATGAAAGTAAGTGATGTTTTTTTAAATTTCTTTTTTATTTATGCAAATTAGTATTTAAATTATTTTAGTTTAGGATTAATTTATTTGGAATAACCTGAGGTTAAGGATTTAACCATATTCTTTCAATTTTTTTTAAACATTTTTGTAGATACGTAACTTGGCTTTGGAAAGTGGTAATTCTTTTAGGAATGGTGATATTGGAAAAAATTCAGCATGCAGATTTAGATAAGATTCAATGCTGGCACTTTCAAGAATTTTCTGTCTAAGTAAGTTACTTCCTCTTTTAATTAGTGTGGCATTCTTTAGATTAAAGGTGTAGTTGAATTTATTTCTATGTATAACTAATGCATTTGTTAACTTGTTGTGTGTAAGATCCCTTTTGTGTTCATAGATACATTTTTTCTAAATTTCTGCAAGTTTCCCCAATGTGTTGTGATGAACAATTCTGGCAATTTATTTTATATATACCAGCTTTGGAATTATTATTGTTATGGGTATTTTTGATTCAGATCATATCCATAATAGTTTGGGATGTGGCAGTAATTATTTTGATGTTTAGATTGGATAGATTGTTTTGGATAGTGGATGTGATGGAGTTTGTAGGTGGTATTATGTGTCTGTTTTTATCTAGTTTATTGTTGTTAATATTGTTATCATTTTTGCAGTTGTATATTCTGTATGCTTTTCTCTTTACATTGTGGATGAAATAAAGATATTGGAGGTTTTTGAAAGTGTTTTCTATGTATATTTCTTGTTTGGGAAATTATTGGGGGCTGCAGATTTTTAGTGCTCTTAAATAGAATTTTATAATTATTCCTGATTTAATCTTGTTACAGTGATGGGAATAAAAATCAACCAGGGCATTTTTGTTCATAACTTTTCTGTAAACCTCAAACTGAAGTTCATTATTATTTTTGTGCAGCATGATATCTAGGAAGAATAAAGTGTTGTTATACACAGGTTCTACGTTATTTAGTTTGTTGATAAGATCAAGTAAAATTATGTTTTGTGGATAGAGAATCATCTATGTATTTGAAATAAGAAGAATTTTGTGGTAAAATATTTTTCAAAGGATCACTTTCCAGAAATTCAAAAAAAAAAAAAAAGACATGTCAAAACATCAATGAGGGGAGACTGCATTAGTAAACCAAATTTCTGTCTGTAAAAATTATTATTGAAGGCAAAAAAAAAAACTATGGTGATTATATGACACATTTTTATGATTTTATATGTGGGAATAGGTAATTTTGTTTTTGTGAAGTGTGTTTTTAGTAAATTTAGATATTTCTTTACAGAAACATTTCTGTATAAAGATTTTATATCTAAACTAGTCATATATTTGTTTTTAACCAAAATTTTAACTCCACTTCTTGGTACAATTAACTCCTTGCAGTTACTATGCCATCAAATTCACAAACCAATGCTTTTATTCATGATTCTATTGTCCTGTAGGACAATTCTCTGTGGAGAACTTGGAGCCTTAAACCTAACCTGCCTGCTGAAATGTTGTGATAACAACAAAGATGAGGATAATAGTCTGAATGTAAATAATAACTCATCCCAGAAAATCAGACAGAAAGGAAGGTTGAGAATTTTTTTCTTTTCTAGTTAAAAAGATTAATTAGACACAAATACAGTGAAATATTGGTTGAATACAATCAGGTTTTCACAGAACTGTAGTTTTTGTACATGATCAGTTACTGAATTTGCATAAAAACAAAAGCAACTTATGGACTGTATTTTGTGCAGGCCTATTTTAAACTACTGAATATACAGGGTGCGATGGATAAATTGCCTAAATTATGCTAAAATGAAAATAACACTGATATCTCATTTTAACAGATATATTTACTAAAATGACACAAAAATAACTTTAAATACTAAAGAGTAAAATTATTCAATAAAATCACAATTAACTTCAACCACAGCTTCCAGACAACTTCAGAATCTCCTACAACTCTTCTGGACAGTATCTATATTTAAGTTGGGAAATCCTACCATAATCCTTGCCTTCAGTTCATCGTTGGTGTTACAAGGAGTTTTGTTGATCTTTCACTCAACTGTGTTCCAGACATAATAATCATGGGGTTGCAGTCTGGGGAGTTAGGTGGCCAGATGTAAGGGATGATGTGGTCGCAATAATTGTCTAACAGCCATGACTGGGTTATCTTGTGTGGCATGGTGCAGAATCCTGTTGCCAGACACAGGATCTTCCAGCGGCCACCCTCTTGACCCAGGGTAGTGTTACCGCCTCAAGGGACTTGATGTAGGCCTCCATGCTGAGTCTGAGGACCTCTCCAATAAATTTGGAGTAAGTTTTCCGAGCTGCCATACCTTTGTAACCACCATTAGACTCATCCAACTCTTTTCAAATCCTTTGCATTGTCCTCAGATTGGCACCCAAACACTCTGAAATTTTTTGTATTGTAGCTTCCGGCGTGAATGCCAAGCAGTACAACATGCTGTTTCCAAATTTCTGTGGAGTGAATTGCATCATAGTGCTCTTTTACTAACAGTTATTCTTTATCATGTCAATCTAAATTTTCACTTAGTGTTGAAATATACACCAACTCAAGGATTGAACACACAACTTCAATGATATCAGACAAGCCAGACCAGCACAAGGCCTCAGGTGGAGAGATTTTGGCAGCTACCAAATTCAACAGACATTTAAGGAAGGGCTGAGTTTTCAGTGGTTAAAAGAAACTGTAGCAGAAACAAGCCACCCAAATACATCAATGTATAATAGTTAAAAATATTCAGATCAAAGCTGAAACATTATATTTAAGAGAATATAAGCTTTGGTATAAATTCAAGCATTTTTGGTCTACTGCAGCAATCTATCCTCTTTTCAGTATATGAATCATGTTATATAGGGTGTTTGGGCTAAATTTGGCAGAGTCTAATGTTTTTATTTTTTCTGATTGGTTTAGAATATCTGCAAATAGTGAATAGCATTGTGACACATTGACACCTCTAAAACTGTAGCAACTAAGCCACCTGAATATTGGAAAAGGGGTAACCTGCATCATGAGGATTCGTGCTGGGTATCAAAATGCCATAATCATGACAGCTGCTCAGTACACTTTGAACACTGTGAAAACAATAAGACGTGAAATGGAGAGCTGCAACAGAGACTATGAGACTGGGGCTTGTAGGAAAAAACACAGCAGACATTCTGATTGCCTCCATACATTAGAATTCATCCAACAACTGCAGTGGAAAGTGATGGAAGATTCAGGCAAAGGAATGCAGGCTTTGGCACTGGAAATGGGTGTTGCAATTTCCACCATGCACCTGGCCTTGAATTATACAGTCATACAAGAGGTGTAAAGGTCAACTTCTTTCAAAAAAGATTCAACGGTCTGACAAAGGCAAAGAAACTCCAGAACAAAGTGAAACATCCTGTTGAACCAGAGACAATCTTGTTCTTTGATCAAAAGAAATTTTGTCAGGACTAGTGGCACAAATTTAAATAAGTTTTATCTAAATATATTTTAATATCAGCTTAACAGAACCCAGAAGAAAAGAGAATTTTGACAATTACAAAAAAGAATGGATGTAGTAGGTTGAATGTAGCCTGCAAGCTGTAGTTTGGTGACACCTGATCTACTGAGCAGAATAATAAAGTAGGTAGAACTGTTAAATCTAAATAATTATTTTGATCTTTGGATAGACAAATATTTGCTTTATTGGATTGCAAAAGTAGTTCTGATGTTCTTAACTATGAATTGTAATTTATTTGAAAATAAGAAAAGTTTACAGGATAAAGATTGATGACCATATCTTAAACTGAATTTTCCTTTTCAATAGTAATTTTTCCACAAAGATATCAAAGGCACTGTGCTTTTAGAGGGCTCAATATCAGATGCCATGTTTGAAACATCATCCAGAGCACAACTCCATGGTCTCCTGGGATTGACAGATGCTGAATTTGAATTGAAATATTCTTTTTCTTTTAAAGGATGTGGTTTTCATTTAGTCTGAGTAAATTAGAGTGTGGAGTAAAATGAAAATTAGAGTGTGATTAAAATGAAAAGAAAAAAAAAGAATGATATTGCAAATAATTCTATCTTGCCAGGGTTTTGGTAATTCACCTGTGGTTACATTTCTAATACAAAATAAATGACATACAAGATAA